CTCCCCCCCATCTCCCACATTGGGACTCCCCTTTACAAGAAGGCCCCTGCCTGAGCTGTGTAAAGTGGCCTTAATGTAAATGAGAATCAGGTCCTTGGTGTGGTCACTTACAGCTATGCAACATGAATGCCAAGTGGGGGTAAATGAGTGGAGAATTCCAATTTGGTAGCTCCACTAACTTTGCAGATGTACAAGTGAAAACTCGAAGGACAAGGCAGTGAGGAATCTGGCCCTCCATGTTCAGATAAGCTGTATTATATAAATGAATGACACTAGTGCATGTGAAGTAGCACAATGAAACCCTGGTGTCCTGGGGTTTACGTCTTGACCATTATAACCTAATTCAGTCTGAGGTTTGCTGCTGGACAGCTTTTCAGTTTGGGTATCTGTTTTTGTTTACAGAATGTAGTTGAACTTCAGCTGTTTAGTTTTTTGTCCTTTGAGGGTTTTTTTTAGTGAGCGAAGGTCAAAGCAAGAACTGTCTGGCTCATTTCAGAAGCTTCATAACATTACTTTTTTAACATAAGGTTTTGCAGGGCATGACTACTGGGGGAGAAGGAGGCATATTCTAGCTGTTGACACACAGCACTAGCAGTCAGGATTTCTGGGCTGTAATCCTGGCTCTTCCATTGATTCACTGAATGATGTAGGCAAGTCACAAGTTCCCTGGGTCTTAATTACCTCATCCATAAAATGGGGATATTAATATTTAACTGGACCTGAAGCAAGTGCTGTGAGGTCTAAGTTATCAATGTTTGTAAAGTGTTCTGAGATCTTAACCTGAAACACTGGAGAACACAGGATAAGAACATAGAGAAGGCAATTTTGGTATTTAGAAGAATAAATAAATTAGATGTAATTGCATGACAGGTTAAGATAGCAAGCACTATGCAAGCGCAATAATTTTAATTGTCACGGTGTTTTTAGTGCACACGGGGTATTATGGAGTTGTTATAGTAACTGATTATTAGTGAAATAATCACACTTCATTCCCTTTATGTGGAACAACTCCATATAAGCTCTAAACCAGTAGTGGACAATCTACGGCCCGCATACATCCCATCAGGATAATCCGCTGGTGGGCCACAAGAAAGTGTTTACATTGACCGTCTGCAGGCACGGCCTCCTGCAGCTTCCAGTGGCCGCGGTTCACCGTTCCCGGCCAATGGGAGCTGCGGGAAGTGGTGCGGGCCGCAGGGACGTGCTGGCCGCCGCTTCCTGCAGCTTCCATTGGCCGGGAATGGCGAACCACAGCCCCTGCGAGCTGTGGGAGGCCATGCCTGCAGATGGTTAATGTAAACACTGTCTTGTGGCCCGCCAGTGGATTACCCTGATGGGCCGCAGGTTACCCACCACTGCTTTAGACTACAGTTGGCACTAGCAGAATGATTATGAAAAGTAGTTCCTGGGTGCAGAGGAACTCAGGGCAAGAATTGCAAAAATTACTAGTGATTGGGGGCAGGGGAGTCTCAGTTTTGCAGTGTCTATCTTGAGACCTCTTAAAGGTGCGTGATTTTCAGAGGGTGGTATTTTCAGAGCACTTTCTGAATAGCAGCCTACTTCATGGTGTCTCAATTTGGGTGCCCCAAAACTGGGGCAATCCAAAATCACTAGTCACTTT